CACACACACACACACACACACACACACACACACACACAATACAATACATTTCTTGTTTAGATTTTGAGGATAAGGTATTACAGGTAACGATAATACCTTACAAAATAATGGATATTTGATTTCATATCGAATGTTTGAAGTATATTAAAATTGGGCAATTCTCACGAAGGCTGTAATTTTATAAATAAACACCAGAGGGCATCCAAGATCTATGGTATATTCACCGAAAGAAAACATATGTCGCAGCCTGCTTTTTAATACCAGATAGAACCCTCTTCTCAAATGTGTTATCGTTTTAACTAATACCAGAGAAACTATCAGAGAAATATAGACCCATGACTAATGAGAAATATTTGTTCCCGTCTCTGTACCATGTGTGAAAACACCTTAATATGTTTTGCGCGATCTTTTGAATTCTGTACCATATGTTAAAATAGTATAGGAATCCCCTCATTACAGCCGTGACAGAAGTCAATATTTTTTCATCGCCACTTTAGATTAGCAACGCGTTTGCATAACCAACTTAAAAGGAGATAGCTTGCTGTGCGGCAAAAGGTCTGGCTCTTGGGGCTCATCTGGATAAACAGCTAAAAAAATATAGGATCGTTTTTGTTTTTCAAACAGTTCTGTTTTTCAAACAGAACTGTTTGAAAAACAAAAACGATCCTATATTTTTTTAGCTGTTTATCCAGATGAGCCCCAAGAGCCAGACCTTTTGCCGCACAGCAAGCTATCTCCTTTTAAGTTGGTTATGCAAACGCGTTGCTAATCTAAAGTGGCGATGAAAAAATATTGACTTCTGTCACGGCTGTAATGAGGGGATTCCTATACTATTTTAACATATGGTACAGAATTCAAAAGATCGCGCAAAACATATTAAGGTGTTTTCACACATGGTACAGAGACGGGAACAAATATTTCTCATTAGTCATGGGTCTATATTTCTCTGATAGTTTCTCTGGTATTAGTTAAAACGATAACACATTTGAGAAGAGGGTTCTATCTGGTATTAAAAAGCAGGCTGCGACATATGTTTTCTTTCGGTGAATATACCATAGATCTTGGATGCCCTCTGGTGTTTATTTATAAAATTACAGCCTTCGTGAGAATTGCCCAATTTTAATATACTTCAAACATTCGATATGAAATCAAATATCCATTATTTTGTAAGGTATTATCGTTACCTGTAATACGTTATCTTTATCCTTAAAATGTAAACATTTATCAAGCCAATATTTTATCAGAGATATTTATGGCCATACCTTAAGGCGTGGTCTCCATGGGGGTGTAAAACTCCTCCTACCAACCTGGGTTTAAAACGTACCGCGCGCTCTTTGCTTATATCATTTCCTATTGGTTTTGAAGGATATCCTTTTTTCTGCAATCAATATGGAACGCCGAGGTAAGTGGAATTATATCTTTGAAAAACATTCTGTTTTAAAGAGACGTTTTTTCAACAGCTCTCTATTTTAAAAGTTTTAATCTTATAGGCTATACGGAGAAAGACGCTTTTAGCCAGATTAATAAGCGTAAGTCTTTTTCTCTTATCTGATGTTTATACGTAATTTATTTTACAGCAGAAAATTATTTATTTTTAATTTTTTTTAAAATTGTTTTTATTGGTAGTGACCGCAAAGCTGGCTGATGAACAAGACGGTAAAAGCGATCGTTTTTATATTTTAAAAACTATACTTTTCTTTGGTATTCCTTTATTGTCTTGCACAGAGGGTATCCTCGTTAACGTGGAGGCACATGTTTGTTGTATGGTGCTTGCTTATTAATTCTGTGTATCCATTGATTGATTTAAATATCTACATCAGAAAATTATCTTGTTTATTTATAGACGATGTAAAGCTGATTGAGGAACAAATTTCACAAAATGGTACAAATATTTGTTTTATACTTTAAAAAATTAATCTACTGTGCTGTGGATACTGAGGATTTAAATCATTACAACAGAAAATTATTTTGTCTTTATTTCGAGCAGATGTGCGGCTGATCTATGAACAGGACTCCCGAGATGGTGGTGTAAATGTTTTATACTTTTAAAATTAAACTACTGATCTGCGGATACTGAAGATTTTAATAATTACAACAGAAATTATTTTGTCTTTATTTTTCTAGATCTGATTCACTTAATAACACAACCAAATTTTATTGATTTGACACAAGAATGCAATAAAAGCGATGAACAGGCTGGCCCTAGTGTGTCTAACAAAGACTGGGAAAGAGATGTCAGAGCTGGTCCAAGCAGCAATAACAACAACAGAAATCCATCACACAGCCCCTTGAGAAAAAAAAAAAGAGCGATCGCCCAGGTCGTTCCAGCGCTGAGAGAAGATTCACACAACAGTAAGATTTTAATATTGTTTTTCGTCAATAGATGGTTATTTTTATTTAACATGAGCTAATTGGATAACTTTAATACATATGCTTTAGATGGTAAAGTAGCTTTGTCGCCATCTTGTGGAGCATTTTTTATTTATTTTATTTATTTTTTAAAAGACTGTTCTATTTTAACCGATCTATTTTTTGGTACATTTTTAGTTTGGTTAATTTGGTTAATATCTCTAGATTTTTTATATTGTTTTTCTTCAATAGATAATGTTATTTTTATTTAACATGAGATAATTGGATAACTTTAATACATATGCTTTAGATGGTAAAGTAGCTTTGTCGCCATCTTGTGGAGCAGTCTTGCTATTTTTTATTTATTTTTTAAAAGACTGTTCTATTTTAACCGATCTATTTTTGGTACATTTTTATCTCAATCTGTTTGGTTAATATCTCTAGATTTTTTATATTGTTTTTCTTCAATAGATAATGTTATTTTTATTTAACATGAGATAATCTTGCTATTGCAATTTTTGTTCTGATTTATCTAGCAATAATCTCATTAGCTAATTTCCCTTTTATTATTTTCTAGATTCCAATATTGTTTTCTTGATTTACTAATTATTTAATATTCATCTGGTTTTTAAAGTCTTGACAATGTTTAATATTCATGTGGTTTTTAAAGTCTTGAAAATGTTTAACCTCTGTTTATTCTATTCAGATAGATCATCAGAGCCTGACCGAACCGATGATACCGAACCTGAGATAATTCAAGGTATGCTTTTCATATTTATTTTTAGATTATAATTGTTCATACTTTTATTATTTAACAAAGAAAATCTTTAAAGCAGTGATAGATAATATTATATTCAAACATATTATTTGTGGTTTTAAAGTCTTGACAATGTTTAACCTCTGTTTATTCTATTCAGATAGATCATCAGAGCCTGACCGAACCGATGATACCGAACCTGAGATAATTCAAGGTATGCTTTTCATATTTATTTTTAGATTATAATTTTTCATACTTTTATTATTTAACAAAGAAAATCTTTAAAGCAGTGATAGATAATATTATATTCAAACAGTTATTTAAAAAATGAATAGATATGTTGTGATTTTCATATACTAATTATTTAAATTACTATTCTTTTCAGACAGATCGCCCCGCATTGCGGACAATGTGCTAACTGGACCGATACACAAATAAATGACTGGGAAAGAGCCAGTTGGAGAAGTGATCACAGTGGAAATTCGTCGCAGAGGGGTGGGGAAACACCATCAGCTGGTGACAATGCGTCCGAGGAGGAAACTGAATCACAGCCAGAGCAGAGCAATAGTGTAGATGAAAGAATTGTCTCTTTTCTCCACGAGCTGGTTGACAGGCAGGATTCTCTATTCGGCGAACTGCTTAACAGGCAGACGGATTTCTTTACT